ATTTTTTTTTTTTTTTTTTTTTTTTTTTACAAATATCATGAATTATTATTAATTCATTAGTATGATTAAATTTATGGTGAGTCACACCACATGAAATTTTACATCAACGGTCAACAGGGGTTGCAGGAATCCTGTCTTATATTTCTTCTTTTACGTTTTTTTCTCCCCTGCATGACTGACATGAAAGTTTTTTTTTTATATATATATATTTGTAAAATGTTATCAAAACTGCTTATTTTATATAAATAATAGAAAACTTATGCCACTTAATTATAGGGCTGGGCAAAAAAATCGATTTTTCGATATATCATTTTTTTAAAATGTGGTCGACTTTTGTGTTCAACAGAAGAAAAGAAATTCATACACGCATAAATGATGACAGAATTTTTATTTTTGGGTGAACTATCACCCAAAAGCCAGTATTAGTTTTCCTACACCGTTCATAGGCTTGCAGCCTCCATGTTACAGCTAATGCTGTGAGATTTTATGTTTGTTTTATCTTAAACACAAAATAACCTGATCCTGTTTGATCAAGGCATGCGACTGTTCTGACTTGTCCAATTTTCAGCATCAGTTTTTCATCTTGCATCAAAATTCTGTTTATTCATTGTATGCATTTGAAATATAGAGTTGGGTTTTGTTTTATTGTACCCAAGTGTACCTAAAATAAAAAGTGTTTAATATACAGGTTTGTGGCTCTTAATTTCCTATTAATTAACCATTTGTAATCTTATGTTCACTGTTATCTATATTCATTCATATAGTCAAATCGAATCGAGAATTGAAATCGAATCGAATTGGAACATCTGAATCGATACCCAGCCCTACTTAATTAGGTACTCAAGGGTTTCTTGTAAAGAGTTTTTAATGATGAATTTGTTAATGCTTTTCTAATCCATTATGATATTACTTTTTTTACTTTATGCCCCCAAAAAATCTCAGAATAAATTTGAAATCAGTTTCAATTAAAAACATTCAGAAAAGGTTCAAGTCATTGTATGTGAATTGCATATGTAATATTAATATAAATTAGTATAACCAGACGAAAAAAGTGTTTGACGCAAATATAATTTTTATTAGTAGTGCACCAAAATGTTTTTTTTTTTTTTTACAGAAACCAAAATTTTGTTTGGTTTTCATTTATAATTGGGTCATAGTACTGTATATGCTGTTCATGGTGTCATGTATCTGTTTCGGTCAATGTTTTCTGCCCTCCAAAACCATTTTGGCTGAAACCTTTTGCTGTTGTGGCCATATATTTTGAGCTGCTGAAATTTCGGTACATCACTTATTTTTATGCAGATGATATATAAAGAAAACAAAGTGGCAATTGCTTACATTTGCTTTGCAGGTGGAAGCTCATTAAGTGTGTTTACTTGTCTTTCTGCAAATGTTTGCTTTTGTGTATAAGATATTTGAGCATGGCGTCTCCAAACTCTGTCTCTTGGGCTGTAGGTTACAATCTACAAGTCCATACCCACAAGACTTCTCTCCAGAGCCTGGGGTCGCTTGAACCAGGTGGACCTGCCAACTTGGTTACGGAAACCTATCTTCAGATTGTATATATGGACGTTTGGAGTCAACATGAAGGAAGCGGCCATAGAGGATCTACAGCACTACAGAAACCTGGGCGAGTTTTTTAGGCGAAAACTCAAACCTCAGGTCCGGCCAGTGTGCGACTCGCACTGCGTGGTGAGTCTGGGTTTGTAACTGTAGAGGCATTCTTTATAGATGGAATAGATTTTTTGTCCCATTCACTTTCAATCATATGCAAACCCAAGAGAATGGGTGCATATGCAAGCATGTACGTAGAATTTTCATTTCAATAGAGCCAATAGATTGACCTAATGTTATAAATTTTCATTTATTTGCTCAAAATATTAATTATTGTGTCTGAAATATATGTACCAAATAAACAATATGTCGACTTGAGGTGTGCGATATATTGTCTGCGATAATATCGTAATTGTAGTATAACGATGTGCGATTTGAAAAACCATTCAAAACACCCCAACAGAGCGTTTTTGATCTTTCACTGCATGATTCAGTCTATTAAAATGCCTTTAGAATGATCACAAATTCAGGACGGGGGCAGAAAATGTATATATTTATACCACTTCATATAGTTAATCAATTTCACATGAAGAGTGCAGTTTTTCTCCAAAAAGTACCATGATTACAAATGTGATATTGATTTTTTACAACAGTTCAATAAACAAGACGTTAATATAGAGACTTACATTTTAGACACCATATTTCCTGTTTTTGCGCTATTTCGACAACAAAAATAATTCCAAACAAAGCCACAGCACTGTTTTGCGTCTCTGAGCAACATGACGGCGTTTCGTTCCTGAATGAATCAACCGTTGATTCGGTTCAATCGCAACATATAAACAGTGACTTGCTGCCACCTACTGGCGGTTTTAATTTCACATTAAAAGTATCTTTTATCTTTTTTTATTATTTAAATAATTTAAAATATCAGTATTCAATGTTTTTTGTTTAATATATTTAAAAAAAAATATGCATTTGTAATTGCCGGTTAAATGCATTCATTTCTTGCATTAATCAGTGTGCAAATACATCTAAATGCCACTTCAGATGCAACTTCTGTGTTTCCTCTGCATTGCAAAGATTAATTTTGTTGATACTGATTTAATTTGCTTGGTAACAGGCAGCCCAAATGTCTTATTAATCTAATTCACTTGTTAAATTTGACTCAAAAGATAATGGACACTTTTAGAAAAATGGCTTTATAAAGGTAAAAATGCCCATAAAATGTAAAAAGATTAATTTCTATCAGTGTGAACTGACCACCACACAGAATATGAAGAATATAAAAAATTTTAGGGGTCAGCTGTCCATGGTATCCTTAAGGTACCAGCACAATAACACAACAGCAAAATATCATCTAATTATCATTATCGATAAAATCCCAGAAAATATCCAGATATTATTTTTTGTCAATATCGCACACCCCTAGTCGACACAGAACCTTGCAGACTAGTTTAGTTTAATATGACTGTTGATTTGCTCTACAGATCAGTCCAGCTGATGGCAAGATCCTTCATTTTGGCCGTGTGAAGAACTGTGAGGTCGAGCAGGTGAAGGGAGTGACCTACTCACTGGAGACATTCCTCGGGCCGCGCAACTGGACCGAGAATTTATCTGCTAACAGAAGTAAGTCTCAGTAAAATTATGTCATTTTGACCAAGTAAGACAATGTTCCTGGATCGAAATCCTTTGATACTGGAACATCACGAGATTAACACTAGAACATTTGTAATAGTGACATTTAATGCAAGGTTTTCCAAGCAGCTAAATCTATTTGTAGGTTGTAAACACGACTTGGGAAAGAATCACAATTTCGGGAAGGAGAGTATCACTCACTCTTATCAATTTGCATGCACACTGCTCAGTCAGCAGAAAATAACACACTTACTGCTTGTCACAACAGTGGCAAAGTTAAGGCGGTTCTAATTACATTCGCCAGTTCATTTTCTTTATAAGGCATTTTCTAATTTATTTTCATATATGTAACATTTTGGTTTACATTTTGAGTTGTTTTCTTTCTTCACAGTCCGTATTGTGAATTTTTGGATCACTGCATGTTTGACTTCATATTTCAAATGCCTCAACAAATTTTCCTAATAAATTTATAACACTGAAGCTGTATTGTTCAAATGTTTTGTGCCAAGTGACTTAATTTAACAAGTACCTGGAAAAGCTTAATGTGGTACTTTGTACCCTAAGTATAATCGTTCAAAAGTTTGGGGTCAGTAAGATTTATACATATACTGTATAAGATATATACATATATAAGTCTCTTATGTTTACCAAGGCTGCATTTATTTGATCAAGAGTAGTGAACTATTATTACAATTTAAAACTAACACTTTTTTCTGTTTTAATATTTTTAAAATGTGATTTATTCCTGTGATAGAAAATCTGAATTTTCAAGCATCCAGTCTTCAGTGTGACATGATCCTTCAGAAATCATTCTGATAAGCTGATTTGGTGCTCAAGAAACATTTCTTTATATTATCAGTCTTGAAAACAGATATGTTGATGCATTTGAAGGATTTCAGGAGTTTTTCAGGATTCTTTGATAAATAAAAAGTTTAAAAGAACAGCATTTAATTGAAACAAAAAAATATTTTGTAATATTATAAATGTCTTTACTGTCACTTTTGATCAATTTAATTTATCCTTGCAGAATCTTAAAAAAAAATGACTTTTGAATGATGCCTCTAAAATCAAAGGGAAATTATAGACTGATATGAATGTTGAAAGACCTGTGCCTAACCCTAAAATCTTGTCTGACCAATCTGAACATCAAGGAACATGTCCTACTTGGGTAAATCATGCTAAGCTTATAGTAGTGCTGGGCGGTATACCAGTTCATACCGAATACCGGTGTTTATTTTTGTTATGATATGAATTTTTAAAATACCGCAATACCGGTGTATGTCGCTTAAACAACGTTCGGAACGCCACATTTATCAGACGATGCCGCGATTATAAATGAGAGTGACTCCTGGTTAACATGTATTAAAAGGGGTCGTGTTTAGTCACTATTTAGTGTGGTATTTTTTGACAATAATCACTCATCATGACAGTAAAATAGGGCATTCTAAGTCAATATTTCCTCTCTCAATCAGTAGAAAATATGGTTAACACTCGGTCATGCATGAAAAAAAAAATACCGTCATGTACCGTGAAACCGGTATAATTTTGAAAAATACCGTGATATACATTTTTGGTCATACCGCCCAGCACTAGCTTATAGGTCATCCAGTAGGTTTCATATTGGTTTTCCTACCAATTATTGAAAATAATCACTTTAGTTTTTCTCACCTTTTTCCTGTCATGTTCAGATGAGGATGATCCTGGCACGTACCAGGATGCCCTGGTCACTAAAGAGGGGAATGAGTTGTTTCACTGTGTAGTTTATCTGGCTCCAGGTGACTACCACTGCTTCCACTCACCTACAGACTGGAGGGTGGCACACAGACGCCACTTCCCAGGTCAGCGGCATTATATGTTCTCTTTCTATTTCTCTTTGCTTTTTGAAAATATGATTTGTTATTAAAAGATTAGTCAACAGTGACTTTAGGTCTTGATATGCTAAAGTTATAAGCGTCTTTTCTAATCTGATGGCGACTGAGCAGTGCGATACTATCAGTGTGTTGTTACATAACTGAAGCACAGAGTGTGGTCTGATATGTTTGTGTTTATTCTAGGTTCTCTGATGTCAGTGAACCCAGGAGTTGCGCGTTGGATCAAGGAACTTTTCTGCCATAATGAGCGGGTGGTCTTGAGTGGGGAGTGGACGCACGGTTTCTTTTCACTCACGGCTGTAGGAGCAACAAATGTGGGATCTATACGCATCTATTTTGACAAGGTTAGAACTTTTTTGCTCTGCAGTAAAATACAAATATTACTACTTTTTTTTTTTAGCTTCTGCAAAAGAATGAGTGTTTAAAGGAGTGGTTCCCCCTAATAACTCTTTAAAATCTGACATGAAATAATAGTCAAAAAAATAACATGTTTTGAAATGGAACAGTTTATTAAACCTTTAGAAAAAGATGGGGGGGGGGCATTTGTGCATGTGTTTTATGTTGAGTATCATATTTGATACATCAGGCTGTTAAGGTTCATGAAATATGGTATAGGAGAATATGGAGTATATGGAGAATATTTCACAATTACAGCTTTGTAGACCAACAGAGCTGGGTAGATTACTTACAAATTGTAATCCGTTACTGATTCCAAATTACATGGCAAAAATTGTAGTTAGCAACATCATCAATTACATTACACATTTTAGGTAATATAATCGGACTATTTTTAGATTACTTTTAGATTACTTTTGACCTACCTCGTTTTTCACATTGATTTAAATAGAATAATCTTGTACCATACTGATATAAAAATAACAAAGAGTCAGAAATATATTCCATTTGTTATCAACAACATGAATTGCATTAAACATTATATTACATCAAGGTGTCCTAAACTGGGCTTGTGAAGGAACTGCAGGGGGTTCATGAGTTAAATGAAAAGCTAATAAGTAATTAAATAACAAAAATGTTAAATTAAAACAAATAATTTTAACATGAATCAAAATAGAACACTTACTGAAACAAATGAGATATTTTATTTGTTTACCTGCATGTCACCTGCATGTCATGTAATCAACGTCAGACATGTGTGATACTTCATTATTAAAATATTTATTTTAAAATCTCTGGTACTTCAAATAAAAATATATTAGGGGAAAGAGGATCAGATGACAAAAAAGTTGGTGAATTTGTGCATTTTAGTGTGTTTGAAAGACAAACGCCTTCCAAAGTAATACATGGTAAAATTAACCGACTGAGTGATAATTCAAATAAAAATTAATGTGTTCATCAGTAGTTGTTGCAAAGCTGAAACGCTTCTTAAACCTGAAATGATTTTTGTAAATCCACCTGACTAATGACTGATGTCTGTGTGAATGTCCACAAAACTGGAAGACTTTCTGAGTGTATATAAGCAGTAGGCTATTTTAGAAAGGAAATTTAAAAGATGAAAAAGGGAATTAGGGAGAATTAATAAATTATGACTAAATCATTGCTATTGTATCAATAATATGTAATCATGTAATCCATAAAGTAACTGCAGTCTGATTACAAGTATTTTAAAATGTAATATACTCTAATTACAAGTACTTCATTTTTGGAATCTGATTATGTAATCCAGATTACATGTAATCAGTAACTACCCAGCTCTGCGTGCCGACATGTAGTTCCGTCTAACTACTTTCCTATCGAAATAAAGCCATAAACATCAAACATAAATCTTAAAAAATACTATGAAGTTTTTGCAATACAATGCAATACAATGATTGAGAGATGTACAAATAAACATTCCTTTAAATCCTGATATATCATATTTGATACTCAAATTTTAATTAGATTTTTCTAATAAAAATTATAGAATGGATGATCAAGTTGCTTCAGTCCAATAATTGTTCGTCTTGAAATATGACTAACAATATAACGTTTACATTTCAGTAAGGATTTCAAAGCAAAAATATGTGTACCACAAGCTGAAGAGGGCCATTTTTACAGTCATTATAAAAAGCCTTTTAATTTTTGATTGTTTAATTTAGTGGCCTTAGAAATTTACATATCAAATATGACAAAAGCTTTATAAATCATTTTCATTATTTGCTTATCATTATGTTTGATGGTTCCCGCTAAATTTAGATCTCGTTTCCAGAATCTCACATTTAAATTTCCGCTACTGAAAGAAAGAGTGATAGGCTGACAAATAAAAGTGTAGGCCTAGTCTGCACAAAATTGTGTTATTTTATTCGTCTTGTCAAGAGTCTTGAATTTATTGACTTTGACTTGAATTTATATGACTTATCTTAAGACACAAAATTCGTAGGGAAAAAAGTGTCAGAGAAAATAAAAATGTTGTACAAAAATTGTATTTCTTATTTTTATTCGTCTTGTCAGGATACAATTAGTTTAACATTGACAACACAATAGTAAAAAAGTGTGGCAGAGAGAAAAAAAATAAAAATGTAGGTTGTACAAAAATACCCTATTAGCTATTTTTATTCGTCTCTCAAAATACTAAATTCGTTTGACATTTTTCTGTTAACATGGTAAAGTGTCACAGAGAAAAATAAATAAATACGACATCTTTCATTTAAAATTATAGGCTAAGCAAAATATAAACAAAATTAGTTGAACGTCCTTCAAGGACAGCGCATCCACACTTTGCTCCATCCTTATTCTGCTCTGTCACTCATCGACAACCTGCCTGTTCTGTCCAGGGTTCCCAGCTTCTTGAAAGTACCTGAAAGTGCTTGAATTTCAGGCATATGGATTCAAGGCCTGGAAAGTACTTGAAAACAAACATAGGTCCTTGAAAGTGCTTGAATTAAATTTGAAATAAATTTTGTTTATGGCGCTATTTAAAAATTGTCCTATATGTTCTGTCAAAGACCGAACAAGCGGAACTAATGATTGGGGGTGGAGATGGGGGAGCGCGAAAAAAAAACTTGTGTGTGTTGATGCGTGGACAGTTTTCTTAAGCCCGCTCCCGCTACGTGTGTCACGCTCCCGCAAACATTCTTATTGTCTTATTGTATATATTTCATCAACGAAAATAGTTCCAAATAAAGTAAAATCTCAGCAGCTTCACATCTCTAAAAGCAAACACAGCGGTGTTTCATTCATGAATGAAAGTGTGTTTTTGAACGAATCTAGTGAGTCAGTGATTCATGATTACCCATTCATAAAGATTTAATTCCTGAATGAATCAGCTGTTCAAACGAATCAATTGAATGAATGATTCAGTGATAAAATCAGTGACTTACCGCCACCTGCTGGTGGATTTAGTTTCATTTTTAGCGTATAACTTCAGTTATTTAAATCATTTAATATTTCTGTATTCAAAATTTTATATTTAAAACATTAATCTCCACATGAATGTATGAATTTAATTGCACTCATGCCACC